AGTTGAAATAAGGCTTTGAGTTAAGGTTGTTTTACATAGAGTTAGAACTTAGAAACCCCCTAGAACTAGATGCACCCCATCTGCGTGAGGCCATGAGCCCATAAGACGCTTTGATAAAGCCACTCTTTGTGAGGTTACTAATTGCTTCCCCAATATAAGTCTCCTTAACGAGAAACATTTTCTCAGCAAGGACTAGGAAATCGTATCTACAGCTCATAAAATCTCATCAATATATATGTTTGAGGTAGAGAGAGGGGTCCACTTGTTGCTAAATTTCAAGAAAGAGATATATTATGATTTCGGAGCCATCATGCTATGATGGATTTTATCATATATATTATCGTTATTTTGATTTTCTCTTTTCAATCAACACATACCCCACTCTGATTAATGAATTCAGAGGCCACATATCCCACCCATGACCCGTCACGGCTCACGGGCCCATCAAGGAAATGGATCAAGACCAGCCAGTTGGTGGGCCTTTTCTATTGTGGTTCAAAAACCCATGATTTCATTAAGGGTTGTTGGGTGCAAAATGATGTCCAGAATTTTCCCTTCTGCCTCTTATATTCATGAATGAAATGATCCAGGCCTAAACCCTTTTCACATTAGGTGCTTGGAAGCAGACATAGGAAAGGTTATTAGGAATCTCCCATCTTTGCTGAAATAAGAAAAGTAGTATGCAGGCCTAAACCCTTTTCACTATTGCTATCAGAAAACAAAAATGAGAACTTATTACATTCGAAGCAAACAGATTGGGTAAAACTAGGCATCTCCATCCTAGCAGAAAGAAAAAACTGCTCCTCTATCTTACGTGATGCATCTGATGTCTCTCCGCTATCTCAAATAACTAGCCGAAAGAACCAGCAAAACAAGTTTGTCATTCATTCGAGATTGGCATCAGTCAGTGCAAGACCTGTTCGAATGATAAACAGCTTTACAGCCTTGTATTAAGAATACTCCGTACTTCTGTGCTTTATTTTATGGGAAGATATTCCCGATACAAGACTATAAAGGCTGTTCAAAGAGGCCTTGCACCAACTGAATTCCATTTCCATTCATTAATACATTATTCCCTTTTTCCTTGAACAAATCGTCTCTAAACCATTTTTCTCTTGGGTGGGAGGTGGGTAGAGATTTTTAAGACAATGCAAATGGTTTTGCTTTTCTAACTAATTATATAGAAGGCTATCTAATGACTAACATTCAACGTATGGACTCTCTATATTTCCTTAATCCTTGACACTTTGTTAAGTAAGACAATATAAGATTATTTCTCAATAAAATCTAAATTTGCAACAGTAGGCTATTTTTGGATTTATGAAAATTTAAAAGTAAACCACAATAATATTCTATTAAGGTCTTGTTAAGAAAATATATGCAATAGGAGATTTGTAAGCCTATTTTCCCAAGGTAGGGGAAGTTTGAATCACTTTCAAAAAATATATGGGAAATTTGAATATTTTTTCCACTAGTCATAATAAAATGAGCATTGATCTTGCAAAAGAGTAACTTCATCCCCGAATTCCAATTTTTAAATGAAAGTAGAAAATCCCAGATTGGATATTCAAAGTAGGAATATGAGTCAAGGATGCAACTCCAACAGATCTGGGTTAAGCATTTCTCAATTTCTTTAAGGGGGCGTTCTTTTTTTTGATTTTGAGAGGAGGGAAAGTTGGTTAATAGGATTTTGGTTTCCATTGACCAAAAATCCTATGTTCTTTTTTCAGATTTATGTGGTGATCAGGGAAAGTTTATTTTACCCATCTCCTAGATAGGTAAATAACTTTCCCACTAAGGGGGAAAGTTGTCAACACTTTAATAGGATAAAAATGTCCTTTTTAATAATGGTTTTTTATGGCTAAAATGGTCATTGCCTTATTTATATGAGAAATAAAAGAACATGGGTAAATGTACTTACTTGAGTGAGTGTTTCACAGCAAAAATTTACCCAAGTAACTGCATTTACCCGGATAAGTAACTTACCGAAAAGCAAACGAGGCATAAAGGTTTTGTTGGTTTGTATTTCCCAAATTTTGTAACGAGTTCAGTTTTGCATCCATTTATTTGTAGGAAAAATCTATGATGTTAGAAAGACAGTGTACCTAACCCTTATTTGTAACTATGATTTGTACTCTTACCTAATGGTACAAAATTTGCACCAATTTCCTCTTACCCCTGTTCCCTCATATAAAGTAGAGACCATATAATCTTGCTGCCTACCACATACTTCCAAACAAATAACCTTCCTCCTATTTCCGTTCTCTTTTATATATATCAGAGATCACAAGAAAAACCAAAATTTACACTCAGTCTATTTGCACTCTTATGCATTTTACCAATGCTGCAAATAAACTGAAACCAAAAGGCCTAGGTCTGATGCAAATGAAATTCTTCAATTAGGACACCCGGACTTGCACTATTAATAGTAATAACTAATAACAGGTGCTGCTCTCTATGACCATCTAAGAGGAACAAAATCCAAGGACCCTGGGTGTATGCGGGGGCCCAAAACTGTCACATTTTGAATGTTTTGGGCATAGATTTCCACTTTCATATGGGCCTACTTGAATTATTGTTTGGGCCAATAATTGTACAAATTGGTATATATCAGTGAATTTTGTAGATAACTACAGATAAAAGAGAATATCTGTGTAAATAACTTGAAATTATGGACAGATAGTCTTTGGACTACAGATGTAAACCAGTAATAGTAAAATCCACAAATAATTTCACGAATCCAATGTGTGCAATTTGTAATTCATATGTCAAAGTTTTTTTTTTCACTAAAAATCAATTCAATTGAATGAACTAACCAATTTCAAGATTTAATCCTATTTGAATAAAAAAAAACAAGGATGGTACACTTTGAAAATTATCCAAAATATTTTATAGTTAAAGATATTCAATTTATGTTATTTTTTATTTACATTTAATCTGAAAGATCCACAATATTAGGTTTTCAGAGTATAATATTTATAATTTAATTTCGAGGATTCGATTATGACAACAAAAAAAATTATAACCAATCAACTCGTATCACAGAAGTGGTGGTGGTATATTTATCAAAGTTCACAGCGGGGGTTTTGATTGGTCAACAAGGCTGTCAACGTGGGGTGTGATTCAGAACATACTGTATTAGTCTTGAACTGGTTATTTAATCAGGACAAAACATAGACCCAGAGCCGTCCTGATTAAATAATAATGACTGACCCAATTATACTAACATATATAATTATTTTATGTAAATAATAATTTAAAACTTGATTTTTGATAATATAACTTTAACAAAAATAACAGTAAAATAATCATGTTTGTATGTTAATAAATCAAGTGTTCTTAATCAAAATTATTTAATTATATTATCACTCAAATTTATTTTTTTAGACAAAATATAATAAAAATTATAAAAAAATAGAATATAGAATACCTTTGTATATTAATAACAAAATATGATCAATTCGAAGTCTGAATCGAATCAGAACAAGCAAGAACCAGAAATGAGGAAACTATTAATGTAGACAATATGACAACCAGATCCAATAAAACCAAAAGCCACAAGAAGAAAAACCTACCCTCCATATGGCTTCCCCCTCAGCCCCCAACCGGTGTGAAGGGGGAACTCGATCAGAGCACGTGTTGGCACAACCAGCCAGCCTAGACACTTTTGCCAGCTAAGCATGCTAGCTGGCACCTTCGTAGGGTCAACGATTTGATTAAAAAGTTGAATAATTGAATTGATTTTTGTTGAAGTCAAGTTAATGGCTGGTCTGATCCTTGAAACATCCAAGAGGTGGCAATTTTTAGGGACCAGATCCATATTACCAATCCAGTCCAGTGTCTCGAGATCCAAGACAAATAGACAATCACCTTCTGTTCTCTCTCTCTCGAGTCCGGATCTGCTCTTGACACTGCGCGCCTCACACTGACCTCTCAGCATGTCGAGGCGTGCTATGTGAGGGGCAGATCCCAGTTCCTCTCCTCTTACCTAACAAAGGGCTCATTAGAAAGGAAGCTATTCACCAGCCGGGTGGGCCGATTCAGCAATTTTTTACTGGGCAGCATAATAAGAAAAATACAAAATGGGGAGTAATACTTACTCAAACAGTACCACCCTTGTATTCACCGTTTACCTTTATATGTTAGGCTGTGTTTTGTTTGCAATGCAAATCTGAATCCATACAAATTTTGTACCTGATTCAGTTTTGCATCTATTTAAAATTATGATTTGCACTTTTATTTGATGTAAAAGTTAACACTTTTTTTTTATCTTGTTTGCATTTATTAGCAATGCAAATTTTGCATATAAAATATTAATGCAAATATTGCATTTCATTCTAATAAAGATTGTGACCTTGGTCGCATGTGACACCAATGAATGCACCAGCATTTGAAATGAAAAAATCAGTTGATAGTGATGTTATCTCTGGTGTATTCATATTTCATTGGGGGTTGCATGCAACCATTGTAGGAGCAGATATACAAATCTCAATTTGCTTCCTACCTACCTTATTCCCCTAAATAAATAACCTTTCCTCTCCATCATTTGTCTCATACAAATTAGGGACCACATCATTACACTTCTATACAAACAAACAAAATAAGGTCAAAATCTAAAGCAAAAAATAACCAATATTTACGGTCAGTCCATTTGCACTTGCATGCATTTGCACAAATGCAAATGAAATTCGCACTGCAATCAAACCAACAGTGTGGATTGATGAGCCCGTTGTGTTACATCTGCCCCATAGTGAGACTGTGAGAGTGAACTGAACCCCACCTTTTTTTATTTAAAAAAAAAAAACTGAACCCCACCTTGCCACCCACCCTGTAGAGTCTGGGGTGGAATTCCATTGATCACATCACCGCCGGTTTCAGATTTCTGGCCTCCATATTCTCTCAAAGTTTCTGAGTTCTCACCTCTTTTTGTCTGGCCATTCCGCTCCTCCGGTCTGACTTAAACAACCTAATTGACCATACATAAACAATGTTTATTAATTCTTAAATTAATACTACTGGGTTGGACTCCATTCCTTTCCGACATATCAGCCAAAAGACCGAGAAGCGCCATCAATTATTTTTTTATCACACGGCCGACCGACAAAGATCGCGACAACACTCACAATCCGCGATGAACGAAAGCCTTTCCACAGTCTCCACTCTTCCCCACATCACATATTTCCATGTCATAACAAGACAAAAGCGACGAATCATTCAGACCCGTCTACATCCAAACACTTCTTAATTAATACTCAAAAAAGTATTTGAAGAAGCAAAATCAACAGGATTTTCTTTATTAAACAAGGGAATAATTCATCTCTCATACACAACTTCTTTTCCTACGCTACCCGAAAAGAGAAAGAAAAAAAAAATTTCCGAATACCCACCACCATTCTCCACCTCCCCCCCGGCCTTCCTAACGCTGTACAAACAACCTACATCTCTACTCGACAATGGTGAAGCACAATGTGTTGGGTTCCAGCTTGAGAGTGATTTCCTTCTCTGAATTATATATAATACTATTGCCACTGAAAAAAAAAGCTTGAAATGAAGAAAATAAAAAATGTGGGAGTCTAGAACAGAGGAGCTCTCCGGGGGGTGCTTTTCCTTTTATGCAATTGCCTCATTGGCTTCAATGCTGAATTGAACCAGGATATTTGATGATTGTTCTCCTCGCTTGACTCGGTTGTCAAATTCGATGACTCGTCTTCTTTCAGATTAGGTTCCAAGTTTTGATTTTGTTTAGCTGATAAATCACTGAATTCCGGAATTGGGAAGGTGAGATATGGCGGGCTCTGGTCCCTCCTTGAATTCTGTTTCGCCATTGAAATTGAAACCTGCTTCCATTTCATCACAGCAATGTAAGCATTTCGGGATTTATTCTGTACACCCGTGAAGGAAAACAGTTTTTATTTTTTTCGAAAACCCCATTTGGGAAATGAGGCTTTTACCTTGCAAGCGATAGAACAGAAGCAATTTGGTTCTGTTAAACCTCTCTCGCAGGCCAAACAGGAGACGCCACTAGTCGATTTGGAAGGCTTGGATTGTGGCCGTGGATTCAGAAATACGACCTTTGCGCCATTAATTGTATATGGCTACAAGATAACAACCATAATTGCAGAAAAATCGTGTTAACAAAGAAAACAAAAGAAACTTTAGAATTTTCAATGGAAACTAGTTAATTTGTTGAAAAAATGGTTATTGACTTTTTGGTATTTTCTATTGACTAATTTATTATAATTTGAGCTAATCACGGATTAAAGATGCTTTAATTGACCCAACAGCTAAGCAAGGAATTAAGTTCAGGAATTACTGGAAAAGTCTACAAATAAGGAACTAAATGAATTCTTATAAATTAAATGTTCAATAAAGAAATTAATTGGTGCAATTGAATGGAAATTAGGGGCAGAAATGGTTTCTTTCCTCGTCCATTACTCCTAGAAAATAATTGAAACAACTGCATATAAAATTAAGGGAAAATATAAGCAATAACCAGTAAATAATCAGCTTAATGTTCAATGCAAGAAGCCATTTTAGTCTTTTCAACTACACAGAAAAACCCAGGATAGAAAACCCCTAATTGATTCTGTAATTAATCAAAGACCAATAATACCAACTACAGATTCAAATAAGATGAAAATCCCAAATTAGCTTGAGAATTATTCCAAGTAATAAGCTTTGAAATTGCAGAGGGAACTGTAGGACTAACCTGAACTTTAGAACAGTCAAGGTGTTTCTGCATGTCGTGGAGGCGGACGACGTCGTTATAGACATATCTGCGGATCTGAAGTAGTACATGAAGGTAATGTGCTGAAGAGGAGAGGCAGTGCTGGCAGACGCATTGGTTACAGTTGACACAGTACACATTCATCTCGTTCTTCTTGAGGTCTTGATGATCGAAGCAAGGACCGAAGAATTTGCTCTTCAGAAGCAACTCCAGCCATTCTGGCTTTTTTTTCTTCAACCGAATCGTTAATCCAACCTGTGGATGAAGGACAAGAAATGTGAGCGAGTGAAGCCACTAAAACACTAAAATTCCAACCCCGATCAACAACGAAAACAAACTGAAACCGAAATTCACGGATGTAACCACTACAAAACCCTAAAAAACAAGAAATTTCATCGAAAAAACAGATGACACGAGAAACAGATAAGCCACATCGAAATTCACAACTGTAGGCCAGAAGAAAATGCTAGAAAACCCAGTTCCTATCAAAACAGAGCAAATTCTATGTCAAGAAACCAAAAGAAGACGAAAAAAAACTAACCATTTTTTATGCTTCCAAACCGCTTCTGCCTTGATTCCGTCTAGTAAATGAATTGCAGAGAAGAAATGCTGAATTCGACAATGAAAATCTCTTATTTTCAGGGGGAGAGAGGAAGAGAGAGAAGGTTGTTGGTGAATTGGTAAGAACTGAGAAGACGGCTGAAATCAGAGCGACAAAATAAACAGAAACTCTGGTCTCATCTCTGGGTTCCCACTTATAACAAACCCACTCATGGGCGGGAACACGAGGCCGCTCAGCCAATCAGATCCGTCGGATGGTAACGAGATACACGGTAAAGATGGAATAAGCAATTGGGAAGTTTGAGATATCAGGACCGTCGGATGCGGATCTGATCTCTCGGATTCTAAAGTGGGCCGTGGTCGGAATTCAGAAACCCAAACCCTAGGAAACGCAAGAAGCCAAAAGCCAAGAAGGAAGATGAGGTACGTCAATCTGCGCTGCCAACTCAATAACCGGAGAAAAGCTATATAATTACGCCACGTGGCAGTACTCGCGGCTGTACCCGATTCCTGAATCCTGAGTCCTAGAGTTCCTACTCACGTCTCTTCCCGCCAAATTCTACCGGGATCTCCGGGATCTTCGAAAGCCGTTTCTTTTAGGTGATGGCGGGACGCGCCGCTTTTAACTTACCCTTTTCTAAATTAAATTCCATAAATCACTTGAAATACCAAATATACCCCCGTTATTCCCTCCATAAATACTTTGAACCACGTGGAAAAAAGTATTACTATGGAGACTGGTATGCAACTCAGAAAGCTTCATCTTAACACGTGAGGTGAAAAACTGGTAATAGAATAGTTTTTTACTTTTAAATGTGGTAAAAAGGTAAATATTGTGTGTTTTAACTTTTAACCAAGAAAAAAAATTATTGCTTTGTCCAGAAAATCTATACATTCATTCTATCAGCTTTGTCAAGAAAATTTGAAAAAAGGTTACCAAAAAAATAAAAGAAAATTTGACGAAAGTGAAACTCTCATATTCTCATTTTATCTAGATATAGATAAGTCGGATATAGATATAGACATGCTTTAAAAAAGCATGGATACGAGATACGCTAATGAAATGCGTATAAATACATAATACATTAATCATATTAAACCAAAAGCTGAATTATTTATGAATAAGATATAAACGCATGAAAAATGCATACTTCAATAGGTTATATGAACAGAAATATTACAATAAACAATACCGGGACTCTAGAACATTCAAACATTGTATAATAATTATCACTCTTTCAACTTTATAATTATAATTTTTAAATTTTATTAATTTTTTGGAATATTTATTAATTTAGTATTTTATTTAAATAACAACTATTTTTTAAATAATGAATATAGTTTCGATTTTAACATATAATGTTTTATTTTACACATAATTGTAAAATAAAACAAATAAATCATTTAAGGTAGATAAAATAAATTATATTTAATTTTCAGTCTTATTAATTTTTTGGGGAAAATTAAATCTTAAATTATTCGTTTCAGTTTTTATAATTACAATTTTCTGTTTTTCATTAATTTTGTTGGGAAAATTTATTTATTTAGTATTTTTATATAATAACTCTATTTTTTCAAATAATAACTATGTTTTCATTTTTAATATATAATTATGAGTAAAATAAAATATATAAATCATCTAAGGTAGATGAAATATATTATTTTTATAATTTTTAGTTTTTATTAATTTTCTTGGAAAAATTAAATCTTAAATTATTTATTTTAGTTTTAATAATACTATTTTTTAACTTGTATTAAAGATGAAAAACAATCCAAAAGTACTCAATGTACAATACTGTCAAACTAGACACAGATACACCTCCATATTGGTGTGTATTGGACCATATCCATTGATACGATGCGATACGGCCCGATAGGGAGGCGTACCATACCGATACACACAATCCATAGGATACGTATCCAATCGTAGTGTATCTTGTATCCATGATCATGGATACATATACGATACGCTCTGTATCAGGGTATTGTATCGATACCTTAATCCTTGGTTCTATCCAAGTTAAATTCGATCATTATTTTTTAAGTTATTTTTATTGATCTAACCACAATTCAACTTGTGCCTTCATAAGAGTGGCCAAATATTGTATTATTTTTTATTATTTTCAAATAAATTTAAATAGAATTCAATTTAATAAAAGAAACTCTAAAATTAATACACTTTCATTAATAATAGTTTTTATTAATATAAAATTAAAATTAATTTTAAAAAATTATTGACATAATTATTTTAAATGGACTTTAATTAATAAAAATAATTACAAATCTTATTAGTTTACATTATAAAATTAATTTTATTAATAACTTTTATTCATTTTATTAATTTTAAATATTGATATTAGTTTTAATTAAATTGATTTAAATTTTACAAGTAGTAAATATTAGAAGGTTATATAATTAACGTGTTAACTCCCATTCTCCCTCCTTAGATCCTTTATTTGATTTTTTTTTTTTTTTGGTTTCTAAAGTTTACTAATTAAATCTATACCCAATCATTTTGAAAAATACAAAACCTATATGTTCTCTTTTTTTTGGTATTCAATGCTATGCACCATTAATAACTTCCCCTTGACCCCCTTTTCTCTAAAGTGTTGGTTGCTGGATTTGATTCCACGTCAACGTTGGAACAAACCAGCTAACACACCAACGAGCTAGCCCTTGGTCAATAACCTATGTGTTCAAACCCAACATGAAAACCGCATTTTTGCCTTGTGTTAGGTACATACTTCAATTATTTGGGTCAATGGGTCAACCCATGGTCTCGTAATTAAATACTAATGGTTTAAAAATAAATAAAAATTACAAGAGAAGGAACATCTTTAAAATTATATATTTATCATGTCAAACAAAATTAAATAAGATAAATGAGAAGCATTTTTATTAATGATGGAAATAAAATACAAATTTTAAAATTGGCCTAGAATTAAATTAGCCAACCCACATTGTTGTAATCAAATAACAAAATTTTTAAAAAATAGATAGGAACAAAAATTGTTAAAGATTTACAAAAGAAAGATGCAGAAAACATTGGGGTACGTCTCTAACAGTATGAATTTCATCATATTAAACAAAATAAGTGTGATAAATAAGAGGTATTATTGTTAATCATGGAAATAGAATAGAAAAACCAACTAAAAAAGAAAACTATTTTCCATCTAATTGGTGGTTAGTGCCCATATGGGTGCAAATTTGGCAGGCTAAATTTGAGCCTGAACAAACCCAACTTACAATTTTAGATGATTTGTGTTGGATTTTTGTTCCTCAAGTTGGGCTTGGGCCTAGGCCCAAAAGTTTTGGCTCTTCAATTTTTCGAGTTGTCTAAGCTTAGCTTTAGGTATCTCAAGCCTGACCTTACTACATACATACATACATACATACATATGCATGCATGCATGCATACATACATACATACATACATACATACATGTACGTATATACACATACATTTATGTCAAATTTTAGCATGGGATGGTTAATCAATCCAAGCCCAAGCCCAAACTGAGTGCATAAAATTTCAACATAGGTTGGGCTTAACTTGGATAGATCAAGCTTGATCTTGAGCTTGAGCCTTAGACCCAATGCATAGAGTTGGGCCTAGGTTGAGCACAAACTTGGCCTAACCTACACAACTTGCACCCTAACTGATGAAAGAAGATTTGGCCCGACCTCGTAACCACTCAACACGTGGCAAAGGCAACAGCTCGGCACAACAACACGCCCAAGGTGCGAGCTCCGAAGGGAGGAACCAGCGGTCTGAACTCCCTACAAGGAGCCTGAACTCCCTACAAGGAGCCTGGGCTCTCCCTTAGGCCCCGAGCCTTACGAAACAACCCGAACTGGCCCGGCCCATGGCAGTTCGGGCCACACCTCTAT